TATATAAATATATTTTTAAACCACACTCTCTCTCTCTCTCTCTCTCTCTCTCTCTCTCTCTCTCTCTCTCTCTCTCTCTCTCTCTCTCTCTCTCTCTCTCTCTCTCTAGTCTCACTTTCTCTCTCTTTCTCTCTCTCTCTCTATATATATATATATTATATTTATATATATATATAAAAGTGAACGTTTGTTTGTGGGTGGATTTGTTCCACATACGTTTTTACGTGGATTGATGGATCTTAACAAAACTTGGCACATATATCCATCATTATCCGGAAGGAACTTTAAAGGGGTTATGAACTTTTTATTACATTCCGTTTGGGCCGGGGACCCCGAATTCGTTTTTTCCCCTAACATGAGCTTTATAAATACAATTAACAACAAATACTCCTACATGAGTCGATGGATCTTGACCAAACTTAGTACAAATATACTTTATTATCCATATTCAAATACCGAAGGGTACTAAACTAATAATATCCATTCTTTTGGGGTCGGGGGGCCCCATTTCATGTTTCCTTATATAAGCTATATAAATATCAATAGGCTTAATACTTCAACATGGATGGATGGATCTTGACCAAACTTATTACACATCACATGATCATCCATATTCAAATACCGAAGGGTACTGAATTCACAATATCCATTTCTCTGGGGCCGGGGGCCCCAATTCATTTTTCCTTATATAAGCTATATGATCATATATCCATAGGGTTAGACAACGGTATAGGTTCTATGTGAATTTATGGATCTAAGCCTAGCTTTGTTCATTAGGCTTCTTAGTCCGTATTTAAATATTGGTGGATTTAAAACTAATAATATCCAATCTAGAATTTTCCAGAAAGTTTCATAATTTTAAAAAGCTATATCTATGATATGGCATTTTAAAGTAGATTTTAATGGGACACATTTTACATTTTAACTCTATTATTTATCCGTCTGATATTTATAGTATAGGGCCCCCTATCTCAGGCAAAGCTAAATCGGTACAGTTATGGAATACCCCTCCCCACCCTCCCCCGGTGCCCCATGATTAACTTAAAATTAAAAGAAAAAGAATTATAATTATGGTATTTGTTGAAGATTTTATCGTTTTCCAAAAATAATTTAAAAAGTAGTTTTACACATGTTTCGAGCAGGTTATTAAATTTAATCTAGAATGTTCCAGAAAGTTCTAAATCGTTCCACGGGGATATATAGTCGGATGTAAGGGATAATGCAATTTTAGTTAGTTCTATTAATTTCTATACTGTCCCGGAGTTTACTGTTCTTTCGGTAACACTGTAATTTTTTTATACGGGATCCCAAAGGGGTCGGGATCCCATCTTAATCTTTATCTCAAAGGGATCCGGATCCCACCAGAAACGGGATCCCACCTGGATTAGGATGCCAGCCTTGAAAGGATTCACAGGGATCGGGATAAAACCGGGAAACGGGACTGCGCTGGGATCGGTGCCAGAATGGAATTAGGGTTCCAATGGGATCGGGGACATACAAGGATGGGGTCCTAATGCAATCCCGCACAACGCCGGGTATATTGGCTAGTATATATATATATATATATATATATTTATATATATATATATATATATATTTGGTACGGTACCCGTATACCGCATGTTATGTTATACGCAGAAGAAAGGGAACGACTGTATAGTGTACCCGGTATTAATAAATTATTGGCAAGCAGACAGTACTCGTTTTTTAAATGAAACTATTATGACGATTTAAAAATGACAACACTAAAAAGAAATAAACGCGGACTGACCACGTTCAACTCCAGTGGGATGGATCATCCCGGTTCAGCTCTCTGAAAATGTTGAGAACCGTTGATTAAATGATTTATTTAGTCCTGGATGAAAGGCCTTGTCAATAAAGCTAAAATCGTTTACATTAATTAAATGTAAAAGTTTTCAGTACTGACCTTGCCTATGGTGTAATGACCTCGGGCATAGTTGTTGGCTGCGTCTTCTTTACCCGTGAGCAGTTGCTCTGGATGGAACAGCTGACGGTAGGTCCCATTACGAACTTCATCTGAAGTCGTCAGAATACAAGGTCTTCAATGGCAGAATACAATGTCTTCTATGTCAGAATACAAGGTCTTTAATGTCAGAATACAAGGTCTTCAAGGCAGAATAAAAATTGATAACCGCAATTTAACCTCTGTCAACTCCTCCCCCTGCGGTTTATGCCAATAAAATTTTATGAAAACATACCGGGTACCGTATAAAAATACAAGTCGTTTAAAGTTTTAAACTTCTGTCTCGTAAAGCAAGCGATTAAAATAGTGATCAATTTATCTTACTTACTCAAACTGCATTTTCAGAATGAAAGTACCGGTAATACCGTATGAAAATTAATGTTTTTAGAACGGTAGTGATGTTTACTAATACCCACCCAGTTATTTAAGCCTCATTAAAATTACCTGCTGCTACCGACGTCTAAAAAGATAATTTATTAGATGTATGGTGAACTTTAACTGAAAAGTTTCTAAAAAAATTCTTTTTACGGTATTTTTGAAGTATCGATAAAAACAATTCTGCCATTTTCTACCTTTCCGAGATAAAATAGACTATACAATTAAATAAAAAAATATTAAGAAAGGACCATTACCAACAACTGTAGGTTCCAAATCCACAAAGACGGCCCTTGGTACGTGCTTGCCCGCCCCTGTCTCACTAAAGAAAGTGTTGAAAGAGTCGTCGCCCCCACCGATGGTCTTGTCAGACGGCATTTGGCCGTCAGGCTGTGGAATTGAGGACCTTTGTCAGTACCGTACATTGGACTCATTAACCCCACAGTACCGTACATTGGACTCATTAACCCCACAGTACCGTACATTGGACTCATTAACTCCACAGTACCGTATATTGGACTCATTAACCCCACAGTACCATACATTGGACTCATTAACTCCACAGTACCGTATATTGGACTCATTAACTCCACAGTACCGTATATTGGACTCATTAACTCCACAGTATCGTATATTGGACTCATTAACTCCACAGTACCGTATATTGGACTCATTAACTCCACAGTACCGTACATTGGACTCATTAACTCCACAGTACCGTACATTGGACTCATTAACTCCACAGTAACGTATATTGGACTCATTAACTCCACAGTACCGAACCTTGGACTCATTAACTCCACAGTACCGAGTACATGGTTTTGTGGTGTATGATGTTAGTTAGTGATAATGTTAATAGAGAATGTCTTACTCAAATAATTCACTGCCTTTACATTTTCCTTGATGGATCTATAAAAAAAATCAAATGACTTAAAACATTGCTTTTTAAAATGAAAAGTAACGCTATAATTCTGGCACAGTAACGTTTCTCATAGAACATATACAACGAACATGTTATATAACAGCAAGAGCATTCATAGAGTAAACTAGTTTAACTAGGGAAGTTGAATGAGTGGCGGATTTAGTTTCCTGGGGGGGGGGGGGGGTAAATGTAAGAGGGAATTTGTCCTTTCGGCTGTTTTAAGTTTTATGCAAAAAATATACCGGTACTATATGTTTATCTTATAAGACAATCATTAATTTTAAGAAAACGTAGCTGATCCCATCAACCGTACCTGAATGCCATGTTCCAGACAATACAGCTCCCAACAAGAGTTACCGATCTGGACACCAGCCTGACCAATGTGAACACTGATACACTCACGCTGGACAGGGAAATAAAGAGCCAGTTCAAGTTAAATCAACGAGTCAAATTTTAGTGCCAGAAACAGAGCTTTCAAACTGATACTAATACTATTGATAGAGGATAACATATATCTATAACTCTTTGCATCCGATGCGCCACGGTTTCTCCATATTTTTTTACAAGTTGGAAATAAATATTTCTTTACAAAAACGTGATCCTTCAAGTTCTTTCTCTCATGATGTTAACAAAATTAGAAAATTGAAACAGATTACCGTAAATTAACATATTTTAGAAAATACTGAAGAACTGTACTTCACTACTTGAAGACAATGCCGGTGTTTAAGAAATTATGAACGGTTAAAAAGACTGAGTCTCTTAAAACAATTGTAATTGTATTAATGGTAATACTACCGGTACAATTAAATGTAAAAAAAAAATAATTAAAAAAGGAAAAAAAAAAAGAAAAAAAAAGGAGAAACATTCTGAGCTTAAAAGTAAAAGATGAAAACATTTCGCTTAACAAACATTGACAGATGAATAGACTTGGGTATCGGTGCTATTGTTGGAACTCTAGTTGGTTGTAGTTTCATGCCATGAATTATTGACAACAATATCTGCATAATGTTATTGCAAATTAGTTTGACACTGAAAGTGCCGTACTCCCAGGCCCCCTTCCCCCAGCCCAGCCCCCGACTGGTGGAAGCCAATCTCCCTTCCTCCCTCTTCTGCCCTGGGCCCTAGTCAATTGTGCATGGTATTTAATTCGAGAGTGTCCTAAGAATATTAGTACCACCGTACCGGTATTACCACCGGTTAAAAAAATGTTAGAACATAATGATCTATTCAGTAAAGATACGGCTATGAGCTGATATGGGAGCATCGATTTCAATGTTTGAGTTTGTTTATGAAATTTGTTGAGTGTGAGTTGCTGAGAGGTCTTGTCAGGGCGAGTTGTGAGTGGCCGGGAGGGAGGGGGTATGCATGGTGAGTTCATGGTGTAAGTTAGTGGTGTTAGTTCTTGGTGTCAGTTTGTGGGGTTAGTTTATGGGGTCAGTTCTCGTGGTTAGTTCTTGGGTCAGTTCGAGGGTTCAGTTCGTGGGTCAGTTCGAGGGGTCAGTTCGTGGGTCAGTTCGAGGGGTCAGTTCCTTGGTCAGTTCGAGGGTTCAGTTCGTGGGTCAGTTCGTGGGTCAGTTCGTGGGGTCAGTTCGTGGGTCAGTTCGAGGGGTCAGTTCCTTGGTCAGTTCAAGGGTTCAGTTCGTGGGTCAGTTCGAGGGGTCAGTTCGTGGGTCAGTTCGAGGGGTCGGATCGTGGGTCAGTTCGAGGGGTCATTTCGTGGGGTCAGTTCAAGGATTCAGTTCGTAGGTCAGTTCGAGGGGTCATTTTGTGGGGTCAGTTTGTGTGGTTAGTACGTGGGGTCACTTCGTGTTGTTAGTTCTTGGGATCAGTTCGCAGAGTTCAGTTTGTGGGGGTGTGCTGAGTGATCGTTGTTGTGGGAAGGTGCAATGTAGTTAGTGAGTGGAAATAAAAGTAGTCTGAAGACAAGAGCGGGTGTCGTAAAGAATTTGTTGAAGAATGTTTTTGTAAACTGTCAGTTGTTACAAATACCCGTAATAGATAAGCTCCATTACGTCAATTGAACGTTGATTATTGATCTTACGTCCTACACCATACCCGTGGCTTTTTAAAAATTGATTAATGTAATAGCCGCCTCCGAAAAAATTGACATTTTTTTGCTTGAGTTCAACCGTTTCGCATGACGCGTGACAGTGACAGCTTTTTCACTCGATCAATAAAACATGTTGAGCCGGTCTCGAAAAGGAAGCAGGACACACCAGAGGCAATACATATATATATATCTTCTTTTTTCTTTTCTCTCTCCACCCACCCCCCCTCCCCCTTTTATTTTTTCTTCTCCAAATAACGTACCGGTAGCTCTAAAGAATATAGAAAAAAAATGAAATATTGTAGCATAACATTTTACTTTAAAAAGAGACGAAATAAATAAAAACTTAAATCAGATTTCTTCAATACAGGAATAATTAAATTTTATAAGAAAAAAAATTTTGTGGACAAAATTTGTTGATAATATATCGCTGAATAGTTAAATTCAAATGCCGTATAACTTTTAGTAAATGAGCGGCTGTAAAAAAAAAAAAATTGTGTTTTACAATTTTTCCACCATATTATATTTAACATGAACTCACCACGACTACCAATGGGTATATATTAAAAAAAAAACAACAACAACATTTTGTAATGTACCGGGTATATAATAATTTATGCATTCAAGGTCAAGATTTATAAGAATTGAGAATGTCAACAAACTTACCATTTTGAAAACAGCAAGCAATGGAAGACAGATAATTCGTGGAAAAGCAACAACACCTTCTTTTATTATTTTTTTTAAACCCACAGATGTCTCTGGCAGTAGCTCTGACAGTAACTCTGACAGTAACTCTGACAGTAACTTATCACTGAAAACTTGAACAACTGGTAGATGAACCGCAGGACAAAGAAAAGGTTCTCCTCCTTTTACTCGTCTTACGTTCGTGTCACTTTGCCAATTTTCGATGAGAAAAAGTCGCTGGGCTCACCGTCCCTTGATGTGGATAGGGTGTGCTCCGCTTGGCCTCATCCAACTCTGGCCAGTGGCTCACACCACGAAAGTGTAGCCACCCCCCTTGTTGCCCCTGGCGTAGGAATACAACATCATCGTGAACCACGTTGATGCATTTAAGTAGTCCAGCACAAGCCCCGAGGGAATGGATGCAATGCCGGACACACGAAGTTAAACGGGCGTACAGTTTTGGTAAAGATTTTTAAACACAGACAGGTCGGGGGTCAACTTTATTTGGGAAGGCGTGAACAGTTTCAAAACGGCATGAAAAAAAAATTGTCAATATCATTACAGTAAGTTGACTGTCATATAAACATCCGGAAAAAGGATGAATAAAATTTAGACTACATTTGTAACCTAGGGAGATTTAGGCTACCGGGGTACTAGAAAGTGCCTTGATTTTGTATTTACAAAACTCCCTCACAACTGACCACCGCCATCATTGGGCGATGTGGGACCACCATGACACTATTTCATAAACCAAATCAGATTTTGAAAATGATTACAGTACGCTATAACCTTCTTTAACCCCCCTCCCACCCTCCCCTTAAACCATGTCACAGAATATCATGGGAACACACATGAAGCAGTGTTCTCTCCCCTAGCCAACGATCCATCCCTCTCAAAGCTTGTCCAGCATTCCCCAATCTCACCAAATTTGGGAACCGGCCCGTAAAAGCTATTGATTTTCTCGTTACCATGGCAACCTGGTAGTTTTAGCTTCACAAAGTAGTGCCAACCCATTTAGGATATTGGAGCGTTTTGGTGCAAGGTCATGCCAGCAAGCGAAATAACATCGATTACAATGTTTCAGCTCAAATTCATTGACACCAAGATTGCACTGCTCCGTATGTTGGTAATATGAGAGAAACTGAATTACGGCTTGCCACTTGATTCTTGCCCCTTCTGTACAGTTGACGTGGAATAAATTTAATGGTACCGTAGTCATTGTTCATGTGGACAACATTTGGACAGAAAGAGAGAGCAAGAGGGAGGTAAAAAGAGAAAGAGAGAGAGACCAAGAGACAGAAAGAGACAGAAAGAAGGGATATAGAATTATAGAAAGATAAATAAAGGGTGGAGAGGGCATGTGAGAAAGGGAGAGAGAAAGGAGGAAGAGGGAAAGAGAGTTCAAGAGAGAAATATATATTTTTAGAGAGAATGGGGGAGGGAGAAAGAGAGAGAGTAAGAGAGAAACGGAGACAGAAAAAGCGGAGGGAGAGAAATTTCAAGAAAGGGAGAGATTTATATTTCAAGAGAGAGAGAGAGAGAGAGAGACTGAGAGAGAGTTCAAGTGTAGTCTATAAAATCAGACCCCAAGTGTACGGTAGTCTTCAAATAGACTCACGTTGTCTTGTCTTGACCGCTACACGTGAGAGTCAGAGATCTCAATGAACATCTCCGCTCGTGACCAGGACGCTCACCCTTTCGCTAACGTCTTTTTAACCTCTTCATGCTGTCACATGCTGGCATCATCGATTTTTCGCGTTGCCATAGCAACACGAATCAATACCGTTCGCTGAATGGCCGCCCACGTTTATAACCCAAGACCATTCATCGATTTCCTTCTCATCGCACGCAGAGGCAGAGCATACGCCATATTTTTAAAAAAATATATTTACTACTCACCTAAACAAACGCTGGCCGTAATTTAGGAACCTGTTTGTGACACAAAAGGTAAGCCAAGTCTCGTACCGGTGCAATTGAATTCATGATAGTGTGATAGCATCACGTGGTCTCATGTATCTCGCAACAGGCTTTTGTTTTTCATTTCTTATCTCTTAGAGAACAGAAGGGCCTGGATTTTGTGAGAGTTGCAAACACAGGTTAGTACTAGTAGTAAAAACGCCATCTTTAACTTGATTATTCAACTGAAAATATTTTAACAATTTAATGTCAGACGATCGATTATCTTTGGCTGAAGTAACACCTTCCACGTAAATACAGCTTTACGTGAACTACTTACAGTTAAGTTCATTTTAACTTTAACTACAGTGGTAAGTGTGAAGTAACAGCAGGTATATCTGTAAAAAAATATTTAGATTTGCATCCAACATAACTGAAAGTGAAAGAGACCGCAAATATCGTAGTTTGAAAAAAAAAAATAATTCTTGGAGTAAATTAAGTGGTTTGTTCTATTTTTTAAATGGGCTTATTCTATACCGGAACGTCTGATGGAACAGTTTGAGAAACACTGACCCAATTTTAAAAAAAAAATGAATAAAGTGTGCTTTAATACTTTAAATGTTTCTGTCAGCAGAAGGTAAAATGGCCTCAGTAGAAATCTCGCGTCTTCTCCTACTGTCCCTGCTGTCCACTACATATGGTCTGCCTTACTTCGATGAGGACTGGTCACCCCGGCAAATCAGAGAATATTTCATTCAGCGGGCAGCTGAGCAGGTACGTCATCAGACTGCTTTGTTGACACAATTATCCCCACACATGCCCCCCCCCCCTTCTTCGACGCCAGGTGATCGATACAACTACACAAGACTGCAATCACTACAAATAGGAAACAAAACCATTAATATGCGACCAGCCTAATTACTAGACCGGGGGAAGGTTATCTCATTTTTTTAAAAATTGATTACTGCCGTGGTTCAAACTTTCATGGGTAATTATTGTAGGAGTTCGTTAACTGCAACCACAGAGATAAAAGGAAAAGACGATAAATAGGCATCTTCTGTACATTTTTTTAAATTGGTTTAGTTTTTACAAAAATGGTTTGCTAGCAAGCGCGATTTGGTATCAAGCGGTTTGGTAGCAAGTGGCTTAGTAGCAGGTGCTTTGGTAGCAATTGGTTTGGTAGCAGGTGGTTTGGTAGCAGGTGGTTTGGTAGCAGGCCGTTAGGTAGCAGGTGGTTAGGTAGCAGGTGGTTAGGTAGCAGGTGGTTTGGTAGCAGGCCGTTAGGTAGCAGGTGGTTAGGTAGCAGGTGGTTTGGTAGCAGGTGGCTTGGTAGCAGGGGGTTTGGCAGTGTGGTTTGGCAGTGTGGTTTGGCAGTGTGGTTTGGTAGCAGGTGGTTTGGCAGCAAGTGGGTTGGTAGCAGGTGGTTTGGTAGCAAGTGTGGTTTGGTAGCAGGTGGTTTGGTAGCAGGTGGTTTGGCAGCAGGTGGGTTGGTAGCAGGTGGTTTGGTAGCAAGAGTGGTTTGGTAGCAGGTGGTTTGGTAGCAGGTGAGGTGGTTTGGCAGCAAGTGGGTTGGTAGCAGGTGGTTTGGTTGCAAGTGTGGTTTGGTAGCAGGTGGTTTGGTAGCAGGTGGTTTGGCAGCAAGTGGGTTGGTAGCAGGTGGTTTGGTAGCAAGTGTGGTTTGGTAGCAGGTGGTTTGGTAGCAGGTGGTTTGGTAGCAGGTGGTTTGGTAGCAGGTGGTTTGGTAGCAGGTGGCTTAATAGCAGGTGGTTTGGTAGCAGGTGTGTGTGCTAGCGAGTACGGTTTGGTGGCAAGTAGTTAAGTCGCAGCTGGTCTCACTTCTTTCTCTGGTGGCACTCCCAACTTATAAACCACGTCGTGAAACACTTTGAACTCATTGTTCTCTAACGCCGTGCTACATTCATGGTATTGAACGCTGGGATTGTCAAAACATCTTTCTTACATGGGCATTCTAACATCGTACGTTAAACAAACAATGTTACTTCCTTTTCGAACCTCTGCTCCTAAACATGAGAGCTGCATCGCGTTTCCTCATTTGATTAGTTCATTTATCTTTCTCTGGATCGTGTTTGAGAACTTTCATTTATTAAAAATAATAACATTAATATTTAAAAAAAAAACAAAAAAACCAGTGTTTGTTGGACTCTTGAATAACGTATATTTTGTGCGTATACCAATCAACTTTTACACTACAGTTTTCACTTTTGAGCAGGTTATTTTGTTATGGATTTAATTCTTAAATTGTATGCTTTACAGTAGACCTGTTGGTTAGCAATGCTAGATTAATACGCTTCTAAACTATTGAACTATCCTAATCCAGGATCCTCCGCCTCAACTTTAATTTGACAAAAATACAAGTCTCACAATTAAAGTGTAAGGTGAACGAGAGTCGCCTATGTTTCAATGTGTTCTGTATGTGTGTTTGCCATAAATAAAATACAATTGTGGTGTGGCAGGTAGTTAGAATGTAGCGTTGAACGTGTACGGGGCTGGCTCTGGGGCTGGCTCTGGGGGGCAGAAATGAATTGCCTATAGCTATTAAAATCTCGTGCTGCCCCACTTAGGCCAGGCCTCGACTCGATGTGGGCTTCAACCTCGATGGTCAGGGCGTCGGCCAGGTGTCAGGTGTGGATGTGGACTCTAACGGTGACCTCTATGTGTTCCACAGAGCGGACAGACCGTGGACAGCAGAGTAAGCTTATTACGCCAACAACATTTATTTATGTGCAAGGTCGAACTGTGGCCTGTCTGTCTGTGACCAGTCTCTCTGTGACCAGTCTACCTGTGGCCTGTCTGCCTGTGTCCTCTCTGTTTGTGGCCTGTTAGTCTGGGACATGTCTTTCTGTGTCCTGTCTGTTGGTCTCACAACGGTATATTACTCAAATGAATATTCTTAGTGAATATTTTCACGTAATTGTAACTTTATTCAATGACATGCAAAGAAAGAGACCACATATATTGTGAATATTGTGCTAATTGAATTCGGCATAATTATGTCCAAACCGAGTTGAAGCAGTATTTTTTTTAAAAAGTCAATAGCTATGGTTTGTGTTAAATTGACTACAGCAGAATATGCCATCTGTTCTGTTATATGCGGTGGTCATTTAAAACTTTATATTTATATGTATTGACTAAGAGATGGAAATTTTCAAATATTTGATTTTGATTATTTTTTTACTTACTTTGGTAATTATATTTTAAGTTTTGAAGGAAATTAAATTCCTCGAACTGTAAGCAAATCTTTATATTTATATATTTAGGGTTCAAACTAGAAAGTCGCTTCTGACTAAACATTACCAAGATACAACATTTTTAAAATGATTTTATTTTGTTTAAAGCCTTGTTGATGCGTCTTTTCTTTTTTTTTTAGAACGTACGTCATGTTTACTAACGTCCTGTCAGAAGACGCCAAAGTTCCCATCAGCAGCGACGTCATCTACAAAGTTGACCCGAAGACGGGCAAGCTCACTCACAGCTTCGGGAAAGACTTGTAAGATAGATATCTGATTGGTTCATTTCTAGAACCCGGTGTAGCGTTACAGTATATGTTGTCAAGTATTTCACCATGACAATATCTCAATAGCGTATGTCCGTTTCTAGTAACCGGCATAGAGTTATAGCATGATGTTGTCAAGTATTTCACCATGATAATATACCATTGGCGTATGTCCATTTCTTGTACCCGGTATAGAGTTATGCCAAGAGGTGATCAATTAGTTCACCTTATTTCATCCTGTACTTAATGTCGCGAGAAGAGCCATAAACACAGTTTACAAATCAACTTCCTTTAAGTCTGTATACCCGGTAGCTAAACCGACTTAGGACTTAGGATAGCAATAATTATTTCCTTTGTGAAAACGTACCGAAAAAAAAAAAAAAGAAAAGCTACACCATCATGATGGTTTACACGCGACTATCTTGGTAGAAGCATACATTCAAACAATTCTTTCATTCTCTGAGAACACCGGAATGTCAACAAGTTACGAATCTATTTGTTCATACGAGATAATTTTTTTTTTTCTTGACATAAGTCCATAAGGTAGTGTTTGTCTATTCACAGCTTCAACGTCCCCCATGGACTTAAGATCGATCAGCATGACAACATCTGGGTCACTGATGTAGGCAGACACCAGGTACAGTCAGCCCTGATTAACATTTAACACTAAGCATGCGACCTGTCAATTATAAGAGAGGCGCTAGCTCACGAAAGCTTATACACATATGAAACAAAGAAATCAATAAGAAAATAAATAAATAGTGGAAGAAGATATGTTTGGATAAATAGTGGAACAAAATGTGTTTAGGCTTGAAAAATAAAGAGGCTAAGAGAGCTACATTGTTATCTGTGGAACACAGATACCGGTTTTATGTTATTTCTTGTTTTGCATTGTCTGATGATGAAGGCGTTTCGCCGAAACGTCCTTTTCATTATTCTGTCTTTTTTTTCAAGCTTAAAAATATCATGTTTCACTATTTATCTACTTCACATGGCTTAAAATAAATAAATAATCAAGACGGCCATGAAGATATTGAAATTAAAAGCCTCTTTACACAGTCATCACTTTCAAAGATATACCAAGCTTTCAGAATATTATTAAATTAAATAAATTTAAAAAAAAATAATGTATGGTTAAAATATCGTCAAGACTTTTAGATACAAAAATAACATTTTAATAGTATCGCTTAACTTTGACCTTTTTAACATTTTTTTTCTTCAAATTTTTCATTAAAAAAAAGATAATAGTTAAGATGACAGACACAACACAGACACACACATTCAGACCTTTCCAAGTTTTAAAACTCTAATCAATTCTATTGAAAAACTCTATTCAAAACTTAAAACTCTATTTAAATTTAAAACAATAATTTTCACAGGTGTTCAGGTTCCCTAAGGGCGCCACTAGACCTGACCTTGAACTTGGTGAGAAGTTTGTTCCAGGCAGCGATGAGAAACACTTCTGCAAGCCCACAGATGTCGCTGTTGCTAGCAACGGAGATTTTTTCGTCTCAGACGGGTAAACTAGCCAAGTATTCATAAAGTAACATCAAAACTGTTCAACTAATCTATTTTAATTTCTCTTTCCGCGCTAGTTTTACTTTTAAAGCACGTATAATTATTGAATCAATTTTCTTCTACCCTTCATGTTCCCAGATACTGTAACAACAGAATCCTCAAGTTCTCAAGTAGTGGACAGATCATTGCCCTGTGGGGAGACCGAGAAGGAAGCTGTGAGTAACCAATAGACAAAGTATTTACAAAAAGATTTACAGCCTTGAATGGCCTTTACCCAGGTGAAGATATCCAACAGTGGGTAGAACCAAAGAGCGAACACGCGTGATTTAATGTTTTTTTCCTTATGCCCCAAGAAGATTTCAATTAATTGTATAGCAGAGTATAGCCACCCAATACCAGAGTATAGCCATTCAATACCAGAGTATAACCAATAAATACCAGAGTATAACCTTCCAATACGAGAGTATAGCCATTCAATACCAGAGTATAGCCTTCTAGTACCAGAGTATAGTCATTCAATACCAGAGTATAACCTTCCAATACGAGAGTATAGCCATTCAATACAGGAGTATAGCCTTCCAGTACCAGAGCATAACCATGAAATACCAGAGTATAACTATCTTTTAATTATTCCAGAGCTTCATATAGCGTTGGACTGAATAAATTGAATACGAACGGTATTCAGGTCTTGTATTTCTTTCATACACCGGCGAATAATCTTTCCATCCAACTCCCTCTTTTAGACACCCTGACTCCCTCCAGCCTGAACATTCCTCACAGCATCACACTCATTGAGGAGTTGGACCTGGTGTGTGTGGCTGACAGGGAGAACAGCAGGTAGGTGTGGCTGACAGGGAGAACAGCAGGTAGGTGTGGCGGAACACTCCCACTCAGCTTTTTTAAATGTACATTAGTTTTTCATAGAGCAAGTTGGGATCACAACGATACCCGTCCACAATGCTTCTCCTCAACCTCCTACTCCACATCCCCATTGCGAGATTTGACTCATTAGGAGGTAATCTTTTGTGAAAGAATACCACTAGATTCTTACAACTGCAACCCACTGACTGCCTGAAGTTTAACATGTTTCAGTTCTGAATTAACAATCAATAGGGGGCTAACATTAATCTGTGCAATGTGTTCGAGCTATAAAAAAGATATAAATACCTCTTACAATTCCCCTTGAAAGAAAAACCTTTAAAAAGAGTGGGGGGGGGGGGCGGCAATGAAAAATGAAAAAAACCAAAACAATAGAAGAGCAATCCGTATTTTTAATAGCGAATAAAGTTGCCAAGTTTTAAGCAAATGTATCAATGTCCTCAGAGCTTTGTGCTACAACGCCGGCCTCAACAACAAGACATCCATAGGAACCTTCAACCGCACACTGATCCCACAAGGAGATATGGGGAAAGTCTATGCTATTTACTATGACAAAGCTGGTAATATTCGTTTTTAAGAAATCACTATGCCATTTACCACGACTAATCCGATAATATAAGTTGGAAGAAATGACAATGCTGTTCACTAGGATAAATCCGGTAATGTTAGTTCAAGACTGAAAAGATACGAAACTATTAGAACTAAGTGTGCCGCCTCTAGAGCAGTGCTGTCCCACCCGTGAGCTGGTTTTAAATGGCTCGCCACAGCTGGAGATATTTTTTTATGATGTGTGTAAAAAAATAAAAAATAAAAAAATAACAAACTTTTAAGGTGAAATATGTTCAAACCACACTGATTGATTCACTAGTGTCGGGAAATCACGTGACAGTACGCCCAGGAGAAGTTGTAATGTGGGAAATGGGGGAGGTCACAAAAGCCAAGGCGTGATACGGTTTTACAGGTACCGGGTACCAGCCATTCATGTTACGCACATCAACAGAGCAAACTTTTGGGAACCTGGATGACATAAAATGGGGCTACCATCTTCTCCTCCTTTCTGTTGCCCGTAGGGGGGGGGGGGGGGGGGGGGGGGGGGGGGGGGGGGGGTGGTGGTGGTTAGGAAGGGGGTGTCAGGTTTAATTACTAACGGCGTTGGGAAAGATGAATAAGGAAACCGAAAGTAACTTGATGTTAGCTAATTGATAATTGTAAAAAATGTCCACGCCCTCTCCAACGGGACCAAATTAGATGAAATAGACAGGTGAGCATAACAAGTAAACTGCTGCCAGGAAAGTCTTCGGGTCAGAGTAATCGAGTTGGGAGTTTCGGTACTAAAGGTGTCACAATAGAATAGCTGTGGTGGGCAGTGTGCACCATTTATGGTACCATGTTATTTAAACAGACAGTCTAGCCAGGTACGGGACAGCGTGTGTCCATCCAGTATTGTTGGGACAATGTGGACAAACTACCTGGTATTCAGAGGTCAGAGCATGAGACGCTCAGTGAGTAGAAAGCAGGATTGTGTGAAACACTAGGAAGAAGTATTTTTCAAAATTTAAACGAACATAATAATTCGTTGCCAAATAAATTCTGTATGACGTACACTCCTTCTGATGAATTTCCACAACCATGGTCTTGGAAGCGGCCTACATCAGTGAGGCTGGACTCTATTGAATGACCAACATCGAAGTCGCCCCCCCCAAAAAAAAAAAACAACAAAAAAAAAAACCCCTAAATTTTCAAAATTTAAACGAACATAATAATTCGTTGCCAAAAAAATTCTGTATGACGTACACTCCTTCTGATGAATTTCCACAACCCTGGTCTTGGAAGCGGCCTACATCAGTGAGGCTGGACTCTATTGAATGACCAACATCGAAGTCCCCCCCCCCAAAAAAAAAAAACAACAAAAAAAAAAACCCCTAACACTTTAACTGGTGAACATATGTAAAATCATATGGGGGGAGGGGGGAGAGGGTGCTATTTATTACAACAAGTACAATTCAATGCAAAATATATCATCAAAAAGCGCTACAGTTTTATTTGCTTTATTTGTTATCTCGATGAGCCGATAATGCTATTGGGAATGACACTCTTTAGGCATAAGGCTAGAAGCCTAGATTAATGAGGGGACAAAATAAATTCTTTTGAGATGTCATCTGCGGTCCTCCGGTGGTCGGAATTTTTGTCTCTTTCTCTTCGCCCAAGAAGTCGTAAAGGTTTGACAGCACAGCCTTCGAGAGATTCTCAATATATTAATACTAGTTTAGGGAGCGACGTAAGGTATGGATCTCAATTTATGATGAAGAATTTCATCAATAAATTCTACTGTTGTTTACATATGACCAATATCTGACATTGAAACAAAGACGGAAGGAAATAAGGGTTGAGTAATGTTTGTTTGCAAGTGGTGCCCTGTCTCTTTAGCGTATTACATTGTGCAATAAGGATGACGAGTCTCGACAGTGATTAGAACTCATTTGATGGAACATAATTCTTTTTTTTTGCGCGTCTTTTTTATCTTTTGTTCAACGATTTTGTTTACAATAAGGAAACATGTATTATTCTTACAATATAGTTTCATTTATACGTTTAACTTAAAATTATAAAAACGTAAATGAATAGAACATTGGCAAGACATGTAAGAGGAAAGAAGTGTGTCATCGATTTTTTAAAATGATATTGTCCATTTGCCACTGTTTTTTTGTTTGTTTTGTTTTTGTTTTTGGTACAGCTATTTGGAAGAGAGAGAGAGAGATACAGAGAGGGAGAGAGAGATACAGAGAGGGAGAGAGAGAGGGATAGAGAGAGAGCGGGAGAGAGAGACAGAAAGAAAGAGTCAGAGAGAGAGAGATACAGAGAGAGAGTTACACAGAGGGAAAAAAAAGAGCTACAGAGATATATATATATATATACATATATAAAGAAAGAGTCAGAGAGAGAGATACAGAGAGAGAGAGAGAGAGAGATACAGAGAGAGAGAGAGAGAGAAAGAGAGCGGATGTCGGGTGTCAAATATTTGATTTAATAAACGTTTTAGATTGGATTTAAAATAAAACGGTACTAGAGTCACTAAGTGTTAGACAAATAATACAAGAGATTCTTCACATTACAGACAAGGAGATGGTAGCTGCCGGATTACTGTCCGAGTACCCGCTGAGATCTGGAGACGGCAGTGACATCTACCCAGCAAGGGCGTTCACCTACAACCTGGAAGGCAAACAGCTCATATCCTGGGCCTTCATCACGCCGGTAAAATAGCACAAACTAACAGAAATTCAGTGCCCTCTGGCACAAATTTACTTTCCTTTAAAAGAAAGAGAGAAAAGAATTGCTAAAGTTAAAGATATTAGTACACATTCCACAATGAACACATTGAAAGGATAGAGGAGCAGAACGTATGTTTTTGTGTAAATTAATACCTTAATACCAGTCAAACCAATCGTAAAGCTTTTAAATCACCATAATGAAATTATTTTAAAATAATACAATCTCTGTGTAACACCTACATTTTTTAAACTGATTATTTGCTTTGCTTGTCATCGTCTGATATTGAAGATTATGTGAAATCACCAAATGTTCAAATCATGACTCAGTGACCGGTCGTTTGGCCTTTACACATAAAAGATAACACTAATTCCAACGATATAGTTAAATCAGCATTGTGATCGATGTTCCAAAGGGGAGGTTACAGCAGGCAGTTGTTTAAACATTGTGATTTTCATTGACCAGGATGTCGCCAGGAATGGACCCTCTTTGATCCACGACCTCTGCGCGTCTAGAGACGGCCGAGACTTCTATCTGGCAGACCTGGACCAGAAGACAGTTTACAAGTACACGAAAAATTGGTCAACAGCTGTAACTCAGCAACAGTGAATTGACGTGGAGTTGTGACGTGGGTGGGGGGAAAAATCTATTAAAGTTTATTTAAAGCATCGATTCAAAGTTATTACATGAAAAGCCATTTCTCGACATCTGATTTTTATAGAAGCTTGAATATAAATAAGTGAACTGAGTCATTTGTACATTATTATACGACACGAAACAAAAACATTATTTTTCTTTATTTGAAATATTCTGAGACTTACAAACATGATAATCAATAAATGAAGTATATTATTGTGGTAGACGGTCTATTTAAAGATTAAGAATAATTTTTGTGTATGTTGAGAATTTGGTTTCTTTATCAATTAAAAAAAAGTTGAATAATTGTAAATTTAAAAGTTTAATTGGATGTATTAAATGACCACACTACAGTGATAATCTGTTAGACAGTTTATGACAGGGGGGAGGGGGGTCAGGTCATGTGTGACGTCACACATTTATTTTTTTTTTACAATTTTATTTATTATTTATTTTTTTATTTTTGTAGTGGAATTTAATAGCTTTAAAAATAATTTTCAAAAATTTTGTGAAACATTTGAAATAGTTTTATGTCAAAATAGCATGAAATGCGTATCTCCTGAATGTGTTGTTCATGATTCCTCTCGTTAGGAGCACTAGTAACTATTCTACTATTAAAGTCAGTTCCGAGATTTGTGAAAGTTTGTGGCAGGAGGGGGGGGGTAAACATTTTCAAAAATAGCGTGACGTACTTTATGGACAGCCCCTAAATACTACTAGAATCAAACTGACACAATGATTATTTGTTTGTTTGAGTGTTGTTGTTTTGTTTTTTTTACAAGGGATGAAATGGTCGCACAGTTGATTGAGTCATACACATTTGCTGTCACCAACAGCACTTACATCAATGATGTGTGCACTCTTAACATTAAACTAACTGTCAGTTCAGGGTCGACTTTTAGCCAAATGTCTTAAGCCTTTAATAAACAAAGAACAAGCAATCATTCACGAGTTTTGCGATAGTTAAAAGAACAAGTTAAAGAGGGAAACAATATTGGCACTAACTATAGAGCGATTCTTAACAGAACAAAATTATGAATAGTGCAAAAATGTTGGGTTGCAAGGTTATAATTATACGTATTTCTTGTATGCTTTTTTTTTCTATTTAACTTAACAAAAGGGTCAGTTATTTAAAAATGTATGAAGTTTCTCGTACTATTTTCTTTACAATGCACTACATTTAGTCGTGGAAACTTCTTATTGGAACATCTTTGAATTTTCTGAAGAAATAAACACCAACCTGGCAACCCTTCACCTCGCGCTGGTATCTGGTATCTGGTATCCAGCAGCCATGTAAAGAATGAACGATCTGCTGTAATCATTGAACCAGCGCCAGGCATTCAACGTGGTGTTGTATTGTGCTGTGTCGTCTCGTCCTTACCCTCTGTGGTGAATGGGTACCATTAGCATATCACCATGTTGTTAAGTGTGTCACGTGATGGGTAACTCACCAATACAGCCCCACAACACTTATAATTATAATGGACACGGTTTGGTCCGGTTTGGTCCGGTTCGGTCGAACCGGTTGTTATATTTTAACTGATCTACCGAAATGGTTGTTAAAAAGTGTCAAATTAGGATTTTTTAAACTACAATAATACAAATACATTGACATTTTTTTCTATATCCGTAACCGACAAGCACCTAACCGGTTGTTGATAAGTACCGAACCGATAATTTACAGGTACCGAACCGTTTATTGACAAGAACCAAACTGGTTGTTAACAAGTCCCTAACCGATTGTTGACAAGTATCGAACCGGTTGTTGCTTGAGTCGCAGCACAGAGTCTGTATGTGAGTCCCTCCCCATTCCTCTGCCACATATGTAGGTGATATGTTTATCCTGTTATATTAAACTAGATTAGTATTATTCGTACTTATCGTTAAAATATAATTGGTGAAACTGTTAGGATTTGTCAAGGAAATAGAAAAACCAGACATGTTGAAGGTTGAATCAAAAGACAGGACAACAAGATGTCATCGTTTCGGCCTAGAGCCTGCTTCAGTGAACAGGACAAATAGAAGTACGGCAAGAAACAGCTTGAATGCAGTCCTTCAATTATTATCTATTTATAATTTGTAACACTGTTATAATTTATAACACTGTTACAATTTGTAACACTGTTATAATTTGTAATACTGTTATAATTTATAGTACTATTATAATTTGTAATACTGTGATAATTTGTAGTACTATTATAATTTGTAATACTGTTATAATTTGTAGTAATGTTACAATTTGTAATACTGTTATAATTTGTAGTACTGTTACAATTTGGTATACTGGTATAATTTGTAATACTGTTATAATTTGTAGTACTGTTATAATTACATTACTTTAACATTTGGCTTTTAAGACTTATTTTTGAAGCTGGCCATGATTGGCATATAAGTTACTGAAACGAAATTCTGTTTTAAAAAATCAAGTATTTTTTTATGATCTACATTCTGTAATTTATGTTTTTGATTATTTGCTAAAACAAAAATGTGATTTTTGTGTGATACTTTGTTGAAAATGTTATTAAAGAGTGTGGTAGTTTTATCACTGTGTTCACTTTTTATAGAATACGATTTGTTGTTAAAGCGGAATTTCATTACAATCTGATTACACAATGTTAAAAAAGGATGTACAATTATGAAATTAAGACCGAAATTAAAAATTTGAACGAAAAAAACACAACAACCAACTGATTGCAAGTTGTTAACTTAAGCGGTAAACAATGTTATTCAGTCATCAGAAGAAGTATTTATGACATAAATTAAGTACGCAGACCGAGGGAGAAAGCAGAAATGACAGTTAAGTTTAATTTGATTGGTCAGAGTCAGTGTTACATCAAATGTATATGTGTATTTTTAAAAAAATAATATTCATAGGAAATTTTCCACCGGGCTTAGAGATAGAGAGGTAGTTCTGAAATCCTAGTCACAACTGTAGAATGAAAGCTTACAGAGCAGTGCGTTGCTGCGATAATTGAGTACCAACTGTATTCTGTTCTAGTTCTATTTTTAAATTAGAAAAACGAAAAGTTTTCCAGGATTACAAAGTTTGGTTTAAGACAATATTGTCCAGGATTACAAAGTTTGGTGTAAGACAAAGTTGTCCATGGCTTCCAATATCCTCTCGCATCAAGTACAAGTCTGCCAATCTATGCTTCAACTCGTTCACTGACCCTCACTTTCCTGTCTATCTCTCTGAACTTTTGCTTCCTTACATCCCCACAAGACAACTACGCTCTTCAATTGACAATAGAACCCTCTCAATCCCAAGAACCAAAACTAAGACCATCGGTGAATGCTCCTTCTACTTCCATGCGCCCACGTTCTGGAGCCAGCTCCCCTTCCACATCCGTCATTGTGAAACCTCGTCCACTTTAAAAAAGTCCCTTAAAACCTATCTGTTTAGGTCCGCCTATGACCTGTGATGCACCTTAATTGCCCTGCCTCATTTTCTGTCTCGGGTTGATCCTGTGGTATAGGCCAAAACGTGCCAAAGTGTACTCGTTTTCATAGCCATTTTAATGTTTAAACTACTGTTTCTATAGTCATTTTTCACATTGTAGTTACTATTCTAGTCTCTCTGGTTTTTAATTTTTATTTTACTGTAGCAATTTAAATAGTTTACATATTTTTAATAATTGTAAAGCGCTTAGAGCTGTAAGGATAAGCGCTATACAAAAATGCCTAAATAAATAAATAAATAAATTACAAAGTGTGGTGTGAGACAATATTGTCCAAGATTACAAAGTTTGGTGTAAGACAAAGTTGTCCAGGATTACAAAGTTTGGTGTAAGACAAATTTGTCCAAGATTACAAAGCTTAGTACTTGACAAATTTTGGTGTAAGACCAAGTTGATGTTCTGTTCAAGCTACTATTTGCCTATATTATTTGCCTACTATTTGCCTACTATTTTCCTACTATAAGGCTGTCATAACGAGACAAGAATGTCAAGGTTTCAATCTCATTTTTGAAACTGAAGCATCAACTAAACACCATTGTTTACTTGCCGTGTTTAAGGTAAATAGGGTAATTGTAACATACTACTATGGTCTGCTTTAAAAAAAAAGTCATTCGTTCGCTATTGTAACATGTCACGTTTTTATCCAGCAACTTATTTGCCATCGAGCAGAGGGGCCCCATCCCCCCCGGTCACTGACGTAATAGCCTAGGTCCCGGGTCTCACTTGTTACTATTACAGTATAAGGTATGATTTTCATAGTTTTTTTTTTTCCTTGATGACTTTAAAACAAAGGTTTTATAAGTAAGACTTACGAGCCCCCACATGTTTGAACAAGACGCTGAGAAATAGAAAAGCCGTTTTAAAATAATTAATTTTAAAAATGTTTAAAATGTTATGTTTTTATGTCTTGTGTTCATGCTGTGTTGGTTCCTCGCGCTCATATGTTGGCCAACCTTCGGAAAATGTACAAGTTACAAGGGCTACCAATCAGGTGAGTCATTTCTTGACTGAAATATCCTATCGTATCTATTCCCTATATACGCGTGTATAGCAGTCGATAGAATCAACTCTTTTACAATTCTACGTTTAAAAAATGCACTAAACATTTAAAAAATAAAAAAATGTAAATCGTTAAGCTAATGTATTATTTGGGTCGTATGTTACAAAAAAAGGAATCCAGTCAACTTAACTTTTCTTGTCCGAGAGATGGAAGTATTTTTTTGTATTTATTTCACCAAAATGATGAGCTATGCTGCACTTTTTAATACTAACTTAACTTCAGTGCAGTTTGGTAAAACCGTGCAGATTTAATAATTTGAGATAACGCTTCTATTTCATATTTAATTCTTTTATATTTAATTCTTCTATATTTAATTCTTCTATATTTAATTCTTCTATATTAAATTCTTCTATATTAAATTCTTCTATATTTAATTCTGCTATATTTAATTCTTCTATATTTAATTCTTCTATATTTATTTCTTCTATATTTAATTCTTCTATATTCAATTCTTCTATATTTAATTCTTCTATATTTAATTCTTCTATATTTAATTCTTCTATATTTAAATCTTCTATATTTAATTCTTCTATATTTAATTCTTCTATATTTAATTCTTCTATATTTAATTCTTCTATATTTAATTCTTCTATATTTAATTCTTCTATATTTAATTCTTCTAAATTCAATTCTTCTATATTCAATTCTTCTATATTTAAATCTTCTATATTTAAATCTTCTATATTTAATTCTTCTATATTTAATTCTTCTATATTTAATTCTTCTATATTTAGTTCTTCTATATTTGATTCTTCTATATTTAATTCTTCTATATTCAATTCTTCTACATTCAATTCTTCTACATTTTTTTCTTCTATATTTAAATCTTCTATATTTAATTCTTCTATATTTAATTTTTCTATATTCAATTCTTCTACATTCAATTCTTCTACATTTAATTCTTCTACATTTAATTCTTCTATATTTAATTCTTCTATATTTAATTCTTATATATTTAATTCTTCTATATTTAATTATTCTTTATTTAATTCTTCTTTCTTTGATTCTCCTATATTCATTTTTTTTTTAAATATAAAGATCGTACTCAATCGTTCACATGTTAAGTATTTTTTTTTATTTTTATAAAACAATGAAATAAACTTCTCTTAACACGTTTCACTGCCCACCAACATTGTTAAGACCAGTAAAGTGTATTTCTTTTAACCCTTGTCCCGTGGTATCCTGGTTTCACGGTTGAATGATCTGAGCAGCGATCCAAAATAGGAAAATGAACGCGTCAAGCTTATGATATCGCACACTTGAAGATACATCTTGAACTCTTTTGACTTAGGGACCTGCACTTGACCTACATTTCAACACAGATGGGCAGGGACTAGGTCAAGTGTCCGGGATCGATCTGGATTCCACAGGTGACATTTACGTAGTTCATAGAGCTAACAGGGTGTGGACATCAACTTCTGGGTAAGGAATTCTTTAGAACAGCGGTTCTCAACCTGTGGGTCGCGACCCCTTTGGGGGTCGCGGGACCCTTTCCCAGGGGTCGCCTAAGACCATCTGAAAACACATATCCTTACAGTTATGAAGTAGCAACGAAAATAATTGTGTGGCTGAGGGTCGCCACGACACCAGACACTGTATAAAAGGGTCGCGGCACTAAAAAGGTTGAGAACCACTGCTTTAGAAGATAATGAAAATATTTTAATATTTAATATGCAAAGAATTTCTGCAAATAATGATATTATTGGCTCATAAATCATTTAAAAATTACTCATTACGCCTCGACCAACTCATTTTCTATTTTCTTAAAGCAATTACCTATTTATAACTATAAATAGTGGCCGCTGCAATTTGAACTCATTCAAAATTTAATAAAAACAATATGATGTAAGGGAAAAAAAAAACATCTTTTCAGAACTTTCCAGCGATTTGGTAATCTTCTGTCTCCAGCAGCCCGAGTGCCCATAAGTGAGGATACCATCGTCAAAAACACTGTCTTTTCAGAACTTTCCAGCGATTTGGTAATCTTCTGTCTCCAGCAGCCCGAGTGCCCATAAGTGAGGATACCATCGTCAAAAACACTGTCTTTTCAGAACTTTCCAGCGATTTGGTAATCTTCTGTCTCCAGCAGCCCGAGTGCCCATAAGTGAGGATACCATCGTCAAAAACACTGTCTTTTCAGAACTTTCCAGCGATTTGGTAATCTTCTGTCTCCAGCAGCCCGAGTGCCCATAAGTGAGGATACCATCGTCAAAAACACTGTCTTTTCAGAACTTTCCAGCGATTTGGTAATCTTCTGTCTCCAGCAGCCCGAGTGCCCATAAGTGAGGATATCATCGTCAAAAACACTGTCTTTTCAGAACTTTCCAGCGATTTGGTAATCTTCTGTCTCCAGCAGCCCGAGTGCCCATAAGTGAGGATACCATCGCCAAAAACATTGTCTTTTCAGAACTTTTCAGCGATTTGGTAATCTTCTGTCTCCAACAGCCCGAGTGCCCATAAGTGAGGATACCATCGTCAAAAACACTGTCTTTTCAGAACTTTCCAGCGATTTGGTAATCTTCTCTCTCCAGCAGCCCGAGTGCCCATAAGTGAGGATACCATCGTCAAAATGGACCCCAAAACAGGCCGCAAAAATGTCAAGTTTTGGTGGAAATATGGAATTGATTGAAATTAACTTGATGGAACTATTTAGTTAATAAGAATTCTAATGACCAATAATTGTTCTTGAAATATGAGGAGAAATGTTAAAATTGAGGAAATCATTTCAAATGGGAAACAGATCCAGTCTTCCCATACAGCTACAGTTAATTTTAATTTTAATGAAATATCCATTACTGCTCTCTGTACTTAGATATAATAGAAAGGGCCTTACAACGTAAAATAAAATTCACATATGTGTATATATTTTTTACAGTTTCAATGTCCCACATGGACTGACAGTGGATAAAGATGACAATGTTTGGGTCACTGACGCAGGCAGACATCAGGTGAGACAGGCAGACATCAGGTGAGGCATGTCAACACGCGCGATAGCCAAATGGTCAACATATAGTCAGTACTAATTTCAGACTCAAAATTGATCATTATTTCTCTTTGAACTCACTCCAGATCCATGATCACTTCAGATATTAAGTTTCCCGAAAGACACCACTCGGCCTGACCTTGAACTAGGGGAGAAATTCGTGGCTGGCAGCGACGTCAGACATTTCTGCAAACCAGCTGACGTGGCAGTGGCGAGCACAGGAGAGTTCTTTGTTGCTGACGGGTGAGGAAAGAGAAGGGAGATATGTGGAGCACTTCTCTTATCGCTTTAATAAAAAGATACGTTTGCTAACATAAGGATGATTGTCAAAGTAAAATTGTTGCTATGAAAAGGCAATACTTTTGTTTTAAATGCAGATTGAGAAGTGTTCCATCTTTGTAGAAACTAGAACAATATTTTTGAAACTTGCGGAAAGACCTAGGAAAAGAGACCATTTGGGAGATTCGTTTTATCATGTGTGTCTCATGATAAGACCAATGTGATGGTTTAATTAAGTGAGACTATAGCAGATTTTGGACGAATCTTAACATGGAAGATTTGAACCTATTGATATGACGAGACATTGCTGCATGAACAGGTATTATGAGCCCGTACAATTATAGTTGGTTAATGTATGCAAACATGTGTATTCCAGTTGAAGAACTAATAACTTGATCCGAAACTGAAATTACCGTTCATGAAAAACATTTCTCTCTATTATAAAAATATTAAAACATCCCTTCAGTGGTAAAGTATTCCACCCCCTTCTCCCTATATATTCAGTTACTGCAATAGTCGCATCATCAAGTTTTCCAGGGATGCTCAAGTTCTAGCCCAATGGGGAACGTCACCCGGAAGATGTAAGTTGATAATCGCAAATAATTAAAATGTCAGCGAGCCCCTGACATCTTTATTTTAACTAAATGACACATTTAAAGACATTTCTTGACACTGACCAAGTATATTTTTTATAAAGTTACTTTCAATAGATGATACAATGTACTGTAGACGTTTCTTGACATTGATCAAGTGTATTGTTATTACGTTACTTTAAGATGCTAATATTTATATATCATTAAAAACATCGATTTTGCTTAATTTTAGGATTAATATTTTATTTCCTTAAAAAAAAAATTTTAACAAGATAAAAAATGGATGACGGATAAGGAAAAACTTTGAGGAAAAAAGAGGTCACATAGGGCAACTCATGATATGACAACGTTGTTTGAATGCCGTCTATTTCAGACGGACTGAGTCCATTCACATTAAACATCGTCCACAGCATAGCAGTCATAGAAGACCTTGACCTCGTCTGTGTGGCTGACAGAGAAAACAGCAGGTTTGTTTTGGGCAGCAGGTTATCATTCACGTATAACGCTCCTCTTACTTTTGACAGCTATAGAAAGTGTCAATTATTACTTTTCTCTGTTTGACATATTCTCAGAGATTGATTCGGTAACACCAAAATTGGCTGGAAGATTGATACCTATTCAAAGAAATACAAAGTCTCTGCTTTAATTTGATATTTTTCACACTAATAACTACGATATTTGGGGCCATTATAAGACAATCATAGAGACATGTGGGGCCATTATAAGACAATCATAGAGACATGTGGGTCCATTATAAGACAATCATAGAGACATGTGGGTCCATTATAAGACAATCATAGAGACATGTGGGGCCATTATAAGACAATCATAGAGACATGTGGGGCCATTATAAGACAATCATAGAGACATGTGGGGCCATTATAAGACAATCATAGAGACATGTGGGTCCATTATAAGACAATCATAGAGACATGTGGGGCCATTATAAGACAATCATAGAGACACTCGATATTCATGATTAAAATTCAGGCGATGTACCTTGCAGAGCGCTCTGTTACAACGCTGGCCTGAAAAATGTGACTTCCACAGGAATCTTTAACAGAACTATCGTGCATCCGGGAGACATAGGCAAAGTGTACGATGTCCATTATAACGAAGCAGGTGAGATTGGAAATGAGACCCAAAAGCTTAATGGCGGCGACCATAATTTTAGGATAGTTAAGTATGAAATAAATATGGTGTCCTTAACATTAAAAAAACCACATTTAGTGGTTACATGAGAGATGAGAAGATAATGTCTTGAATTGTGTACCCTCTAAATAAGTGAAAGACAAGTATTACAACTGATTACAATATAAAATATCCAAGAAATAAGATATGCTTGCTTTGTTTCCAGACAAAACTGTTATAGCTGCAGGTCTTATATCTAAAGTCCCTTATTTGAACCTTCGGCGTGTGACGTACCCCCCTCGCGCCTTCACCTACACTACAGATAGGCTTAAGATACAATCATGGGCTTACATGACGCAGGTAACACCATAAATTATTTTTCTCAAGGAGGTATAATCAATCTCACCCAATCAATATCATCAATCACTCACACCAATCGAATCTCACCAGCCCAGTAGAATTATTATTTTTTTTTTACCTTAAATCAAAGCAATTCATAAATATTTTTATTATTATCATGAAAAAAGTCCATCTGTTTCAGGACTCCTCCAAGACCAGCCCCTCGTTAATCCACGATCTGTGCTCGTCTAGAGATGGAAGAGACGTTTTCCTGGCTGACCAAGATCAGAAGAGAATACTGAAATACACCAAGAGTTGATCCTATTGAATACCTGATAGATGCTTTTATTTACTTCAGATAACAATCTCAAGCAATAATTTCAAAATAAATATCTATGCCCGTGCTTAATTTTTTTTTGGAATTATGTCCTATTGTTTTGGCCCACGTCTTAGTTAGGCAAGGTTATACGGCAATAAGATATAGTGTTAGAAGAAAGTCGATAGTGAATTTAAAACAATTTATTGTTGTTTATGGATAGAATGGAACGGCACACTATCAGCCAATATGATCAGTTGGTGTTTTTCTAACATGTAACATTTAGGTTTACTAACAGCCTCACAACCCATGGGTTTACTAAGAGCCTAACAACTAATGGGGTTGTTGTTTTTCCACAAAAATCAGCCCCATGAGGTTGGTGTTGAGGTCTTTAAGGAGGAGGGGGTGGAGTGGGTTGGGGTTGGCGGGTGTTTTGATGGATGCACGAGTTGAACTGATGGATGCACGAGTTGAACTGATGGATGCACGAGTTGAACTGATGGATGCACGAGTTGAACTGATGGATGCACGAGTTGAACTGATGGATGCACGAGTTGAACTGATGGATGCACGAGTTGAACTGATGGATGCACGAGTTGAACTGATGGATGCACGAGTTGAACTGATGGATGCACGAGTTGAACTGATGGATGCACGAGTTGAACTGATGGATGCACGAGTTGAACTGATGGATGCACGAGTTGAACTGATGGATGCACGAGTTGAACTGTGGGCGATGAACGTTTGGGGTTCTCTCACCCCCACCCTCTCCCCACCGCTTCACGTGTCAGTGTGTTGGCAATTTTCATGTAAGAATAAGAAAGCAATTTTTGAATGTTATTGACAGTAAGTAAGAGAATGGCTCGCTCTGGCGCCCACAGCAATTTTTGTTTACCGAGGGACTAGTGTAGGCCTTGTGCAATCGACTTTTGACCACACTCTTGTTGGGTCATCGAAAACTCGGAATAGAAATTAAAGTTTGTAATCCCTTACTGAAAGGCGATGGTGTAGAGATTTATTGTAAGCTAAGGAAGAAGCAGGGGAAGCACCGGCAGTTGTTTGCTTTAGTGGCGCATTAAACGCTCATGAAATCTAACTAGAGTTACCTACACTTCTTAGAAATGGAAATAAAACTAAATTGCTAGAGTACTTCCATTCACCCCCGCATCACTAAACTATTCTTCTATTTTCTTATTAAACTGTTTTAAAAAAGGAATATTTAATTATACTGATATTATAAGTAACATAGTTTATATATATATATATATATATATATATATTATATATATATATATATATATATATATATATATATATATATATATATATGTGTGTGTATATATAACAAGGAATCACGTAGTTTCTTGAACGTGACGTGAAACAAAAGGATATAAGTATAAGTCATGTTTGAGTGACATTAAATAAAACCATGATTACAATGATTCAGCTGTACTAAGATAAGACAATAAAAACAAAAAGTCAATTTAGAAAGACCCTTATCTTTAAAACTTCCAACTACAACACACACACACACACACACACACACACACACAAACACACACGCACGCACACACACGCACACACACAAATCTACTTTAATTAGTGTTTTAAAGTATTTAGACCTTTCTGTGTTGTGAAGGTCTGGGGGGTCACGTCAGGAATGGCGTCCACACTTAAATCTTTGATTTCACTGCATTTGGTCATCTCAATTTTTACAATACTTGCGAGATGTCAGGTCAGTTGTATAAGATACACATCATTACAAACTCTCTATTTAACGTGTGTGCTTATGGTTGCGTATTTTAAAAAAGCAGTTATACATTTATAAAAATCTTTGTCTATCAAACTTCTAAAACTAACTCTCGCCATAAATTATGTTGACATAAACTGTTAGGACTTTTGGATAGTTTTACGTTTTCAATTATAAACACCATTCAACGAGTTAAAAAGGATTTGTTTAATCTGAACTTTTATAAATGAGATAAATGTAGAGGATTCATAAAAGTAACTTTATTTTGACCTACATTTGATCTACATTTAACCTTCTGCACTAAAAAATTTTTGTGTAAAAATAAATACCTAATAACTTTAAAGTAAAAAAAAAAAAAAAAAAGGTAAATGATTAATTTGTTATCTGACGATGTATGTAAAAACATTACATTCTATCAACGGTTCATGAAATGACATTAATTTTGTTTATGTCTGACTGTGACCGGCCGTAGCCACTTTAGTTTTATTTGTTTGCTGTCAGCTTCTCCCCGTTGAAGATCCCAACTTCAGCACAGACGGCCAGGAGATAGGGATGGTTTCAGCCGTTGATATTGACTCTGACGGCGACCTCTACGTCTTCCACAGAACCGACAGGCCCTGGACCGATGAGTGAGAGCACTGTGTTTAGCAGGAAACTAAAACTTACCATTTTAGGAATTTTCTTAGTAAAACTGGTGGTGTTCCGAGTGAGGGCTCTCTGGCATTTACAAGGGTTTTGTCATTTCTAGAAATACTCAACTGACAAATTTGGTTAAAAATACGCATTTTGAGCCAGTGTTTCACTATCAAAGACACATTTTGGAATGGGAGGAAAACACGTTAAATAGTGTATAGGCCTACCTTTCCATGAATTATGAAGGTGCACTTTTCTATAAATTATGTAGACATAGCTTTCTATAAATAATGTAGGCATTCCCTTCTATAAATTATGTAGTCATACCCTTCTATAAATTATGTAGCCGTTCCCTTCTATAAATTAAGTAGGCATTCCCTTCTATAAATTATGTAGCCGTTCCCTTCTATAAATTATGTAGGCGTTCACTTCTATAAATTATGTAGGCGTTCCCTTCTATAAATAATGTAGGCATTCACTTCTATAAATTATGTAGGCATTCACTTCTATAAATTATGTAGGCGTTCCTTTCTATAAATTATGTAGGCATTCACTTCTATAAATTATGTAGGCATTCACTTCTATAAATTATGTAGGCGTTCCTTTCTATAAATTATGTAGGCATTCCTTTCTATAAATTATGTAGGCATTCACTTCTATAAATTATGTAGTCATACCCTTCTATAAATTATGTAGGCGTTCCTTTCTATAAATTATGTAGGCATTCACTTCTATAAATTATGTAGGCATTCACTTCTATAAATTATGTAGGCATTCACTTCTATAAATTATGTAGGCATTCACTTCTATAAATTATGTAGGCATTCACTTCTATAAATTATGCAGGTATTCACTTCTATAAATTATGTTGGCGTTCCTTTCTATAAATTATGTAGGCGTTCCTTTCTATAAATTATGTAGGCATTCACTTCTATAAATTATGTAGTCATACCCTTCTATAAATTATGTAGGCGTTCCTTTCCATAAATTATGTAGACATTCACTTCTATAAATTATGTAGGCATTCACTTCTATAAATTATGTAGGCATTCACTTCTATAAATTATGTAGGCGTTCCTTTCTATAAATTATGTAGGCATTCCTCTCTATAAATTATGTAGGCATTCACTTCTATAAACTATGTAGGCATTCACTTCTATAAATTATGTAGGCATTCACTTCTATAAATTATGTAGGCATTCACTTCTATAAATTATGTAGGCGTTCCTTTCTATAAATTATGTAGGCATTCCTTTCTATAAATTATGTAGGCATTCACTTCTATAAATTATGTAGGCGTTCCTTTCTATAAATTATGTAGGCATTCAATTCTATAAATTATGTAGGCATTCACTTCTATAAATTATGTGGGCGTTCCTTTCTATAAATTATGTAGGCATTCACTTCTATAAATTATGTAGGCGTTCCCTTCTATAAATTATGTAGGCATTCCTTTCTATAAATTATGTAGGCATTCACTTCTATAAATTATGTAGGCGTTCCCTTCTATAAATTATGTAGTCATACCCTTCTAAAAATTATGTAGGCATTCCTTTCTATAAATTATGTAGGCATTCACTTCTATAAATTATGTAGGCGTTCCCTTCTATAAATTATGTAGGCGTTCCTTTCTATAAATTATGTAGGCATTCGTTTCTATAAATTATGTAGGCATTCCCTTCTATAAATTATTTAGGCGTTCCTTTCTATAAATTATGTAGGCGTTCCTTTCTATAAATTATGTAGGCATTCCTTTCTATAAATTATTTAGGCATTCACTTCTATAAATTATGTTGGCGTTCCCTTCTATAAATTATGTAGGCATTCACTTCTATAAATTATGTAGGCATTCACTTCTATAAATTATGTAGGCATTCACTTCTATAAATTATGTAGGCATTCACTTCTATAAATTATGTAGGCGTTCCTTTCTATAAATTATGTAGGCATTCACTTCTATAAATTATGTAGGCGTTCCTTTCTATAAATTATGTAGGCATTCACTTCTTTACATTATGTAGGCATTCACTTCTATAAATTATGTAGGCGTTCCTTTCTATAAATTATGTAGGCATTCACTTCTATAAATTATGTAGGCGTTCCCTTCTATAAATTATGTAGGCATTCCTTTCTATAAATTATGTAGGCATTCACTTCTATAAATTATGTAGGCGTTCCCTTCTATAAATTATGTAGTCATACCCTTCTAAAAATTATGTAGGCATTCCTTTCTATAAATTATGTAGGCATTCACTTCTATAAATTATGTAGGCGTTCCCTTCTATAAATTATGTAGGCGTTCCTTTCTATAAATTATGTAGGCATTCGTTTCTATAAATTATGTAGGCGTTCCCTTCTATAAATTATTTAGGCGTTCCTTTCTATAAATTATGTAGGCATTCCTTTCTATAAATTATGTAGGCATTCCTTTCTATAAATTATGTAGGCATTCACTTCTATAAATTATGTTGGCGTTCCCTTTTATAAATTATGTAGGCATTCCTTTCTATAAATTATGTAGGCATTCCCTTCTATAAATTATGTAGGCATTCCTTTCTATAAATTATTTAGGCATTCCCTTCTATAAATTATGTAGGCATTCCTTTCTATAAATTATGTAGGCATTCACTTCTATAAATTATGTTGGCGTTCCCTTCTATAAATTATGTAAGCATACGCTTCTAAAAATTATATAGGCATTCCCTTCTATAAATTATGTAGGCATTCTCCTTTTTTTTTTTTAAATAGCGGAATGCCACTGAGTAAAGATCAAATGGACAAGACACCGTGTTTATTTTAAAAAAAAATATTATTTTACGTAATAATCATAATTACTATTCAATAATGTAAACTATTCTGAAAGGGGAGCTTTCAGTGGATTACAAGCTATTTTATTTAATTAAACTGCATTTATAATAAATACCACCGGGCTATGCCTTTTGAAGTGTTGGAAATTTATCCTCTCTCATTGTTTCCAGCACATTTCTGCCCAACCGTAACGTACTTTCGGCAATAGGGAAAGTGCCCATCTCTAAGGACACAATTTTCATTGTTGACCCTAACACTGGCCGGAAAAAGTCGAGTTTCGGAAACAATTTGTGAGTAAAAAGTTCAAAGGAAAATGATTTTATTGCGTCATTTTGTTAATTTGTTTTTTTTAAAAACTCAAACACGATTTTTATTATTCACTGAGAAACCACGAAAATGAAGAGTCCATAATGAGAATAATGATCCCATTACTTGGCAGAGTCCATTGTGAGAAAAATCCCTGTACTTGGATGAGTTCATGAAAAGACATAAACAAAATTGAGTGACCAAAAAGTGAACTTTCCTCTCATTATTGAACACTACCGTTGCGTCGAGTTATTAACCGATTTTTAATGGTTCTCAAATGTTATTTAAAGACTTCTACTTTAATATAATAATACTTCTTTACAACAGATTTCTTAACGATAAAATAATGACAGTAATTAGCGGGCTTATGAAAATAACAATGATCACATTCTTAGTTGCTTTTTTATATTGACAGTCAGTCCGAAGGTGCGACAGGGAAATACGGAACCTATGGGACATTATAGAACTGAACTCCCTGCATGTAACAAAGCAGACAAATCGTAGCATGTAACAAAGCAGACAAATCCTAGCTATAGCAAAGCAGACAAATCCTAGCATGTATCAAAGCAGACAAATCCTAGCTATAACAAAGCAGACAAATCCTAGCATGTAGCATAGCAGGCAAAACACTTATTAGTGTCACAACAATGTATTCGACTGTGTTCATTTTCTGACACGCTCATTGAGATTTATGCCATGCGCAGTTTCAACATTCCACATGGACTTAAAATCGATGCCAATGACACAATCTGGACGACAGATGTTGGAAGACATCAGGTGGGTCAAACAGTTTCTGTCCCATCACCTGTGTAGGTGGATCGTTTAAAAAGAACACACCATTATTATAGTCATTACACTGTTATTGCATGTCATAACTTGAAGTTTGGACGCGTGCATCGCAAATTTTAGCCCTAAGAATCTTAACAATAGAAGCACTAATGGTGCTGAGTCTTGGTCTTAAGTCCTGTACCAATCGGGATCTCGATAATCGCTAAAGCTAATGGTGTGTTGAACGTCACAGGTTTTCAGATTCCCAAAAGGCGCCACCCAGCCTGACCTAGTTCTGGGAGAGAAGTTTGTTCCGGGCGATGACGAGCGCCACTTCTGCAAACCTGCTGACGTCACGTTTGGCAGAAATGGCGAATTTTTCGTGGCAGATGGGTATTACTCAATTTTAAGAAAAAAAATGTTAAATTAAAATTAAATATTCTTAAGTAATTTTTTTAAAACAAAATTAATGTTTCATTATTTTATTTATTTTTAAAGTACACATTTCACTTTCAGACTTTCACAAATATTACATCGCTTCTAAAGAGATACTTTGCATTCCCTAAGTTTACTTTTTGCTTCAGCTACTGCAACAGCCGCATTTTAAAGTTTTCCCGAGATGGTTATTTGCTCTTCAAGTGGGGAGTTCATTTGGATAATGGTGTGTTGCATAATGGTTGTGTTGGATAGTGGCGCTTGGATAATGCTTGTGTTGTTTAATGGCTGTGTTGTCAAGTAAGGGAGGTCATTAATAATTATTGCGAATGAATTTTATGTTTCATTACGCGAGGTGTGTGTTTGAGAGTTTTATTAGTTAGTGAAAGCTCTTCCCGCGCTTGACTCTGTGACGTATTTTGATGCTCATTATGACGTATTGTCTAGTCTGTTTTGTGAAGCACGTTGTATTCGTCGGGCAGTCGTGGAAGGAACTTTGTGGAAGGAGGTTGTGTCCTATTTTTAAATGCGTTATATGCACGTGTTTATGAAATTTACAGCCTGTGTATATAGTTTGATATTAAAGTTAAATTTATTGTGATAAATGACTTGAGCTGATTCAGTGCTAGTACGACGAATTACAAAGTGTGAAAGAACTGGATGACTTAACCAATCTAGTAGAAACAGGAGTTTAAGAGGTTAGGAGGTTGACAGGTGTATTGGTGTATGTGGCCACTATAATATCTCTACACAATATTCTTTTTTTTTTTTTTTAAATTTTGTCGTTGATAAACTTAATTTGATAAATGCAGTGCCGACCAACCAAATATTAATATTATCACCAAGAATGGCGTGGACAGGAATGAGCGATTACAATTAATGGAAAGATTACTTCCCTTAGTCTAGCAGCCATCCAAAGTAAATGATATTACAAAGTTGAATTCTTGTTTTCAGAAGAAAATATTTGTATTATTCTGCTTTAAAAATTCTGCTTCTGATATTAAAACACAAAATTGTGCGGTTTTTTTTGTTGTTTTTTTTGCAGCTACGAGCGCATTAAACCCGTACACACTAAACACACCTCACAGTTTAACCTACATAGAGAAAGAGGACCTCATATGTGTGGCGGATAGAGAACACAGCAGGTAAAGTGTACGGGACATTGTAAATAGATGGGAAAAACACATTCTATAAAATAGATAGAGCTAAGATTTGGCTGTAGCACCAAAGAAACAAAAGCCACGCAGATGGTTACAGATGCGATTTCAGAAATGTTCTCAAAATATCAACACGATAGAGTAGTGACTTTTCAAAGTATGATCGGTTGTATGGCTGAGCAATCTCCCCGAGTCTTAGCTCTTCACGCACTCTCCAGTCCATTGTGCAGCTATTGATTACGTATGTGTACATAAAAATAGCCCAGGAGATGACCGTTGCACATTCCTTGGGGCTTAACGTGTGTTCACATGACACTATCAAATTACTGCACACACTGTCTTACGTACACACGTACACACAGCTGTTTAGGTTGATCTCTTGCGGCTACCATTTCAGAGCACTCTGTTACAATGGTGGGTACACAAATGGACTGTCCCTGGGCAGCTACAACAGAACTTTGGTCGGCGTCAATGAGACGGGAAAAGTGTTTGCTATATACTACAATAAAGCAGGTCAGTGGATATTCAGCCATACATTACGTCAGTGCATTTTTTTTTATTAGCCGGAAATTAATTCAGTAGATTCCAGTGGACTTAAGTCTAAAGTGTAAAGTAGTGTCATTAAATTGCAGTGGTCAGTAGCAACAAGAGGCGATAGATGAAACCATTATCAAGAATCAAAGGTTTCGCTGTGAATAATTTATATTAAAACATGTTAAAATTCTAGGCTCTATCAAAACGCTAACTGTATACATTTTTCTAAATAATGCGAAAAAATCTTTTACATTGTTAACATTTCAGCCAATGAAATTGTCACAGCTGGAGAAATTTCCCGTGAGCCTTTTCTGGTCAACGGTCAACTAATTTATCCACCAAGAGCCTTCAGTTACAGCCTCAGTGGTCAGAAATTATCTTCATGGGCGAACATTACACAGGTAGGTAGTCAGTGGAAAATCCAAAGGGCGAAAATTATACAAGTAGGTAGCCAGTGGGAAATCCGATGGGCGAACATTGCACAGGTAGGTAGCTATTGGTAAATCAGATGGGCGAACATTGCACAGGTAGGTAGCCAGTGGGAAATCGTGGAAAATTAACTATGTATAAATGAATTGTTGCAACATGACACAAGGTCTAGATTAAGACAGAAAACCACCCCAGGAAGATCACACAGACCAAAAAAGACTCAAAAGACTAAAAATACCAAAATGACCACAAAGCCCCAAAAAGACCACAAAGACCAAAAGGACCACAACGACCAAAAAGACCACAAAGCATCATAAAAGGGTTGCACAAATAGGCATACACATTTTTTTAAACCTGCAAAGAACAAAAAGACTACAAAGAACAAAAGGACCACAAAGAACAAAAAGACCCCCCCCCCCCCCAAAAAAAAAATACCACAAAAACGCATTAAAGTCTTGTACAAATAGGCATACACTTTTTAAAAAAAAAAAACCTTGCTGTGGTTGATAATGAACGTTGGCGTGGAAGCAACCCAATAATAAAACCAGTCGCTGAAAATTAAAGTGAATCTTCAAATTATTTACAGTCCTCGTGTATAAAAATCATTTAAGTTGTATTTTGTACAAAGCTCGACACGTGCCCAGCTCCCTCACAACCTCACTTACTAACTATTCGTATTTTTTACATTGAAATTTGCCATTAACGACTGGTCACATCACTAAAAAGAAAAGTTTCCCATATGGAAGACGTCTTTCTGACGGTTTTTTAAATTTTGCTTTCACTTTTAGACACCCACATATCATATTAAAAGGGATACATATTATTGGATATATTTTAGCGTTAGGCAATGAAATGCTGGGTGGACTTGGACCAGGGATATTAAAATGGTATTTTTTTACAAACCGGTTTTCGGTTTTAAAAATGCGTTAATTCCGGTTTAAAACCGAATTTTTGTACAAACCAATGAACAGTGTGTACAACAAGGCAATATTTTGACATAGTTTTATAAGCCCTTAAGCGGAAGTAAAAATCTTGTTTTGTCAGTATCACTACTCCACTGCCTCTCCTGTGTGATAATGATGTCATGTTTTGGATGAAGAAAAGCAAAGCCCAGGGCAGCGCATGGTAGTTCCTACACCAAACCCGAGACAGCGTGTGGCATTTGCCACCCCAAACACCAGGGCAGCGCGTGGTAGTTCCTACACCAAACCCGAGACAGCGTGTGGCATTTGCCACCCCAAACCCCAGGGCAGCGCGTGGTAGTTCCTACACCAAACCCGAGACAGCGTGTGGCATTTGCCACCCCAAACACCAGGGCAGCGCGTGGTAGTTCCTACACCAAACCCGTGACAGCGTGTGGCATTTCCCACACCAAACCGCAGGGCAGCATGTGGTAGTTGTTGCTCAGGCATCAGATTTGTTTATATGAACAGCCATATTTTCAAACATTTTATGATGGTGTTAATTTATAAAATGTATTTATTCTCTGGACTGACTTCAAGCTTGAACTGAACCACATTAGTTAAATATAAAATAAATGCAGCAATGGCAACCATGATTACTGAATCTTTACTGTGGTGTGACATCTGTACTCACGCCAACGTGTCAATTGATAGCAGACCACTACACACGTGCTATAACAAAGCAATCTCACATTTCATATAAAATACATTCAACTATTTTTGGAAGTGACCTTCCTCTATCCAACTCACTAACCCTGTTAAAGTTTGCAGTGCGGTTTGACAAGACATGCCAGTCACTATTGCTTATACTTACTGTTAGTTTATTATTGTGTTTATTAAAAAATATAAATTTCTGGATTATTTTAATCATGATAAAAAAATAATCATTAACCGGTCTTCAATTTCAAAAAAAAACAACAACAACAAACAAACGGGAAACCTTTGTTTGTTCGGTATCCTTAATTTGGAATGGTCTTCCTTCATGTTTACTGTTCTACAGGTTGTGGCGAAAGCTGGGCCTTCCTTGATACATGACCTCTGTACATCCAAAGATGGGCAGGACGTATTTCTCGGGGATATCGTGCAACATAAGGTCTTCAAATACACCAGGCGTCCAATCAGCGTTGTGGGATGAGAACGATACATTTCGATCAACATGTTTTACCGTGATACCCATTGTCATTCTGTTTCTGGAAACAAATTTAATTATTTTTTTTTTTGTGTGTTGCATTGACAAATTTAACATCATTAACAGTTTTCGAGAAAAAATATTAATTCTCTTATATTAAATCTTATTATTGTCATCACCCTCTTTCTTTGTTTTCTTTGGATTCTTTCCATACAATGGCTGAACAACCAAGAGCCGTCAGTTACAGCCTTACCAACTGCTCTGCATGCGGGACAAGTGATGTGGTTCTTACTACCCGCGACGGGTCACAACCACACGTGCCGAATTCAAGATCGGGACACCAGATGTGTCGATGAGAGACTTGCTAATGAATGTCGAACGTGCCTTTCGCGACTGCCCATATTTCAAGACCCCGTCAAATTACCTCTGGCCCCAGGTCAATGCAGCACGCAGCAAAACTAACCGTACTGAATCTCCGTTATCTTGGATGCGCACGTTCGTTTGTCAACAGTGCACAGCTCCAAACGCCACGTGTTCTCTGGCGCGAAAAGAAAGATATATTGGGAAGTCGTAGTTGGAAACGGTTATCTGAACGGATTAAAAAATTATAGCTACGCACCGTTGAAAAACGCACTTACGCGTTCAAGACGCGTGCGTTTCGGTACGGTTCGTTTTTGTGCATACTGTACGTTATCCGACAAGCTCAGTGAGCACTTAGGGGAGCCACTAGACAACGGCCTCCTACGTGATGGCTGCTTGAGTGGACGTCTGTCGGAACGAAGGAGAGACAGGATAAAATAGGCCAACCGAATTCTGAAGGCATTTGAGATAGCGCCCGGGTAAGGTTAAGAAAGTAAGGGGAGGCTACCAATGAATTTGTGTGACGGTTCCTGTTGGTTATTTCCCCAAAATTTTTTTAAAAACCGAAATCTTTGTTTCTGGAGAGAAAAAAGTGTGACCGTAAATATATTTGACTCTATTCAGGCCATGCCTTGTTAGCGCAACTCTGTATGTGTGCAACTCCTTCAAAATAGATGGAGTGATTCCCCCTTCCATTACGTCTCTTCATAGTATTAGCATCAAAGTGACGAAGTGAAATTTACCACAAACAAGTAGTTTTCCCCAAGTCAAATAAGTCGCCATCAAATATCAAAATTTTAATTTGCGCTCCTAATATTTCTGCTCCCTTGCGTCCTCAGATTCCCACATCATGTTTTCTTGATCAATGGTTATGACAGAATCAAAAAAAGAAAAAAAAAATCATTTAGGTAAATGCCTTATTGCAACCTTCAGATTTTGTAATATACTCTCTACACTTCTCTCTATATTTTGTGTATGCCATTTCGAATCACACAAAAATATAAATGTGAATAACTGTTTCTACCATATATATATGTATTGTGACTAATTGTAAACTCGTCGCAGCCATAGTCCCAGTGTCTCCTCCAAACACTCACCAAGAGTCTTGGATCCTGTGCCTGATGCCCCAGCATTCCACACGGTCTTATACCCATCACCTCTCCACGAACCGGTTCGATAGTCAATCGAATGGGGCCCATCGATTAGGTGTTACGCTGGAGCTCAAGTGTTGGTACGTTATAAACGGCAGCGCGCCACCCCAGAGAAGGAATGTGTCCACGGGACCCGATGGGATGACGACAGGGGTTGGAGAGATGAAGTCGTGTGAATGCGTGAGGAGGAATACAAGGGTAAATGATACCAGCACGAGTAGACCACGACTGATGATCACACTGTGAAGGGTATCAGCACAAAAAGAAAAGGGGAACATTACCAGGACTAGAAGTGGCAACAAGCGTTGGCCTGAACGTTTCTCATAGAACCATCAACTAACACATATCCCTGAACCAGAAGCTGTCACCTGTCCAGGATCGCCAATAACAACTATCCCTGGACCACAGGTAACAACTATTCCTGGACCACAAGTAATTCAAAGGACCACAGTTAAGACGACTGCCATCGACTTAGAAGAAATAAAGCAATTATTTGAGTGCCTTATTCGAGAGGTCACCATGGCGACTAACAACCCCACTGAAGTTGGTGAGTAACGGAATTACAAAATTGACATAATTGCTAACATACTAATGGTCAACAACGACATTATCTATGGGGGAAGGGGGGGGTGGGGAGTGGGGCGTTAATAGGAATATATAATAAATATGGTGATTCATCATTATACCTAGAGCTTTTATTACAATTTTGTTTAGTGATGACCGTAAGTTGCAGTGCTGCACAATGAGGGGAAAACAGATATATTTTTTAAAGAGTTGTTTCTAAAATCCATATGTTCTAGTTTCTAGCCGTATGCTTCGTAGCATTGCAAGTTTGAGAGAGCGACACAATGCATTGAGCCTTGACAGAAATTTTGTGTTTTGATGTCACTGCGTGGTCTTATTTAGAGGCTAAGGCCCCATCCCATTACATGTTTTCAGGACTTGATCAAGGGAATAACAGATAACACTTATTAGGTTTCTATTCAAAGCTTTTATGATGACGGACTTTTTCCTATAATTGTTAATATAGGTGTGTGTGTATGTGTGGGGGGGGGGGGCTTTTTTAGTGCCCGGGGGGGGGGTAAAACACCATGAAGTAAAGTATCGAAATAAAAATTTACATACACGTCCATGACATTGCACCGAACATAGAATATGAATATAACAAGAAACAATGACAGAGGCAAAGCTGTAAAGGGGATAATACAGAGACGGGACATTTGTTCACTTGGCAGGTGTTACTGTCTCTTTCAGAGGGTAAAACACCATGAAGTAAAGTATCGAAATAAAAATTTACATACACGTCCATGACATTGCTCCGAACATAGAATATGAATGTAACAAGAAACAATGACAGAGGCAAAGCTGTAAAGGGGATAATACAGAGACGTGACATTTCTTCACTTGGAAGGTGTTACTGTCTCTTTCAGAGATCAATGCGAGCAAAAATTTTGAATAGGGAAATAGTCATTCAAGTAAGCTTGAATAGCTTGTTGAATGCACATGCAGAGTCTCATTGAAGAAGCTATTTGTCCTAAATAAAGTGACCTCTTTAAATGTCCACTACATCCAGAAAACTCCACATTCTTCGCTTCAAGTTGTCCGATCTCAGCTTCACCATTAACTAAGATTATATTTCACAAATTTTCTTGTCCCCGAATCTCCGTGTCACAAAATCAATTGTGCACCCTTTCAACATGAGAACCCGTGGGAAACAAGAAAAGTGGATAGTTCTATATAATTACGCTATTTTAGTCATCAACGGCAAATTGCACTAGGAAATAAAGAGAGTTTTTTCCCCTTTTTACAAAAAAAAATTCTTGTCTTGGGTTTCCCCTTGCGCCATAATTTAGTTTTTACATCCTGATGAACAGCAGCATTCTAATTATTCAATTAGTAGTCACGTGTCACGGTGGGTCTGGTGCATATTTTCTGCACTATTTGGCTTCAAGACAAGTCTTTGTCAGTCACACTTTTTTTTTCAGATTTAAATTATAAGTCTTGAAGTCAACCGAGAAAATGATAGGTTGGGATGAATACAATTAGGTGTCACGTGACATACTGATTATAACTTTATGACTTTCGTGTCACAGCTCAAAACGCAATTTAAAATATGTACTCTTACAACAACAAATCGGTGCTACGTACTGACGTGGTTTTAAAGATTTTACTATTTTTTTAAGAAGAATTGGCTTGTATAATGAACAGTACGTAACGAAGAACCGGGAGAAACCGTATGCAAAGGAAGCGATACCGAAGCTAGTGATACCAACAACACTTAATTTAATTATAACAAATTCGATTAAAGAAACACACAAAAAAACTATATAAAATTACAGCACGTGAAAAGGTACACTAAAAATACAAATATTAATTTACACACACACAATTATATAATGTCTCGTATATGTTAGGAAACATAACAAATAAATCTCTCTCTCTCTCTCTCTCTCTCTCTCTCTCTCTTTCTCTCTCTCTCTCTCTCTCTCTCTCTCTCTCTCGACTAGGAAATCTGTCGGTCTATTTATAGGGATAAATAAGATCGATTTAAATAATGAAATTCTAGAAATTGCGTCCCCTAAAAGAAACACACAAAAAAACTATATAAAAATACAGCACGTGAAAAGGTACACAAAAAATACAAATATTCATATACACACACACAAATATATAATGTCTCGTATATGTTAGGAAACATAACAAATAAATCTCTCTCTCTCTCTCTCTCTCTCTCTCTCTCTCTTTCTCTCTCTCTCTCTCTCTCTCTCTCTCTCTCTCTCGACTAGGAAATCTGTCGGTCTATTTATAGGGATAAATAAGATCGATTTAAATAATGAAATTCTAGAAATTGCGTCCCCTGATAGCATTCTTTAGAACGAAAAGAACGCATTCGAACGTAAACGACATTTTCCCAACCAATGGAGGGTGGGTAAGGAATGACACAGCACATTATCTCGGTGACTTCAATATAATAGCAAAACAAAAGGGGAGACAAGTGGTGGTCGTTAAAATTGGGCCTGCACGTATGCCATAACACTCTGGAAGGTAGCTCCGCGGAAAGTCAAAAGCTAACCACAAATAGAGATGCATTTGTGATGACGCCTTTTGCTACTTTTGTCGTGTACATGATTTTTCACGATGTGATCTTGAAAACCCCAGTTTATTTGGCAAAAACAGTTTTACGGATTTATTTATAAACATAGATACGGTCAACATTTTAGACAGTTAAATTATATGTTAAACTCAGTATTATTAACTAGATACTCTAGTTTCCAAAAGTCGATTTGAATTTTAATCTCTGTAAACTAGCGATCGACCGAAAGTGATTTTCTGATTTCGGTCGAAACCGAAATAGGCCGGAATTTAAAAAGGACTTTCGGGCGAAACCGAAATTAAACCGAAATTTAACATTTCAGTTTCGGCGCCGAAGCCAAAATTCGGTCGGTCTCTACTGTAAACCTAGGGCCTGGGGTCTGGGTTGTAAACAAAATGTCCATATCATCCACCTTCTAAGTAACACCTCTGAAAAAAAAATGGAATGGCTTTGCAAGTAGGAGAAAGATTCACTCCGACTGTTGGGATTTCCCGATTTTTCATGTTGATATTATGCTCGCATTATCTTTCCTTGCACCGTATTTACTGTTGGCGCAAGCAGAGCATACAATGA